TCCATATCAATTTAGCTATTATTATATTATTATCTATTCTATACCAGTTTAGCTATTATTATATCATTATCTTTTCCATATCAGATTAGCTATTATTATATTATTATCTTTTCCATATCAGTTTAGCCCTCCTGAAGCGGAGATGCGGCTACCTCGTCTAACGCTCCGACAAAGACCACCAATATAGAAAAGGTATGAATGAGACTGGTATCTTCACAATAGAAGAGATGTATTTGACCGGTTTCGATTACGTTTTCATCAGAAATACATGTATATCTGATGAAGACGTAATCGAAACCGGTCAAATACATCTCTTGTATTGTGAAGATATCCAGTCTCATTCATACCTTTTCTACATTTGTCAACATGGATACGTTTCAAAGACCACCAAACCGCCCCTCTGCATTTCAGCAAGACAGCTTGAACTGACTCCTTCTGTGCCGCCGAGATCGACAAACCAGACTCAGCGTGGCGGGAGTTCGCGTCCTTTGCTTCTGGGTCAGCGGCGTCGCCAAGGATGGCCGCCTGGACCCGTCGCTGAATTTTATTTCTAGCGATTGTGGCCTCTTTACCGAGCGTCTGATTACCCCTACAAGGTCTGGTCTGCATCCATCCCCACCCTCCCCCTCCAAGGACCACACTCCCGCGACTGTTTTGCCTAAATTACGGCTTTATAACTCAGAACGCAGCTTCACAATTCTTCATTCATTTTTCTTATTCAATGGCCCTTTTATCCATATAGTACCGTTCACCTCGTAAACTTAAATTATTTTATTTCTAAAGATGCGGAACTGAATTTACAAGATAAGTTCATTTGTTTATTTATGTGTGCAGTTTTAGTAACTTCAGTGTGCGCAAACTGTTAGGATGAACAAAGAGAAAGCCAACTTGCATGGTTGCAGTACTCAAGGTCTCCCGGACACTAGCGCAGTCTCATGCTCGCAGAAACAGTGACATGAATATGCAGTTTATTCTCTCTCTCTCTCTCCTCTCTCTCTCTCTCTTCTCTCTCTCTCTCTCTCTCTCTCTCTCTCTCTCCTCTCTCTCTTCTCTCTGTCACACACACACACACACAACACCTCTCTCTCTCACCCCCTCTCTCTCTCTCTCTCTCTCTCTCTCTCTCTCTCTCTCTCTCTCTCTCATCTATCTATCTATCTATCTATCTATCTATCTCTCTCTCTCTCTCTCTCTCTCTCTCTCTCTCTCACACACACACCACACACACACACAACACACACACACACACACACACACACACACACACCTCTTAATTGTTTTCTTAATAAAGTAACAACTGGATCGCCACTTGGAAATAATTGAGCTCTAGCATTCCGTCTTTTGTGGTACGGTCAGTCGTGGTAACTGTGATAATTGTAATAACAGAAGCAGTAGTAGTAGTAGTACATGTAGTAGTAGCAACAGTGGTAGTAGTAGTAGTAGTAGTAATAGCAGCAGTAGCAGCAGTAGTAGTAGCTGTTTAAGTGTTAGGTGGTGATAGTGTTAGATATAGTAATTGAAGTTATTGTGGCAGAAATAGCTGTAATAATAAAACAACAATAGTAAAAGTAATAGTAGTAACAGTAGCAGTAATGGAAGTAGCAATAGTAGAAGTTAACAGTAGTAGTGGTAATGGTAGTAGTAGTAATGGATAGTAGTATATAGCAAGAATAGTAGTAGTAGTACAGTAGTAGTAGTAGTAGCATAAGTAGCAGCGTAGTAGCAAGAATAGTAGTTAGTAGCAAGAGTAGTAGTAGAAATAGTAGTAAGTAGCATGAAGTAGTAGTAGCAAGAATAGTAGTAGTAGTAGTAGCAAAATAGTAGCAGTAGTAGCAAGAATAGTAGTAGTAGCAAAGTAGAGTAGTAGCAAGAACAGTAGTAGTAGTAGCAAGAATAGTAGTAGTAGTAGTAAGAACAGTAGTAGTAGCAAGAATAGTAGTAGTAGTAGCAAGAAGTAGTAGTAGCAAAGAATAGTAGTAGTAGCAAGAATAGTAGTAGTAGTAGCAAAAATAGTAGTAGTAGTAGCAAGAATAGTAGTAGTAGTAGCAAGAACAGTAGTAGCAGTAGCAAGAATAGTAGTAGTAGTAGCAAGAATAGTAGTAGTAGTAGCAAGAAAGTAAGTAGTTAGTAGCAAGAACAGTAGTAGTAGTAGCAAAGCAGTAGTAACAAGAATAGTAGTATAGTAGCAAGAACAGTAGTAGTAGTAGCAATAGTTCAGTAGCAGTAGTAGCAGTAAGAAAGTAGTAGTAGTTAGCAAGAATAGTAGTAGTAGTAGCAAGAACGAGTAGTAGTAGTAGCAAGAACAGTAGTAGTAGTAGCAAGAACAGTAGTAGTAGCAAGAATAGTAGTAGTAGTAGCAAGAATAGTAGTAGTAGTAGCAAGAAAGTAAGTAGCAGTAGCAAGTAGTAGTAGTAGCAAGAATAGTAGTAGTAGTAGCAGACAGTAGTAGTAGTAGCAAGTAGTAGCAAGTAGTAGTAGTAGTAGTAGTATAGCAAGAACA